CCCAGACTGCTTGGAAATATTCGACACATGAGGGCTTCGTCGTCAGCATAGAGCGTCATCGCTTGCTTGTAATGACGAATGTGATCAGTGGGGTCTGATTTTCCGTCGTAGAGGGTAAACGACGATGCCTTGAACTTTTTAGATAGCACAGCCCTGGCAATTCGTTACACGAATGGGTCATGTTTATCTTCCTTATCTGAATCATCACTTCTCCCTCGTCTATGCCATACATATGGACTTCCTTCAGATGAGTGTAGACACCCCATTTTTGACCGACCTTAAGACTCAGACGTCACCGATTGAGCGCTTGGTGATGTTGCATATCGCGCTCATTCAGAAGTCTCAGAATCTCGGCTGCGAGCCTTGCCTTCGGACTTTCAGACTCTCACTACAAGAAAAAACACTTTTGGCGACTACCTATTTTTTTTTGTCGCAAATAGTCCACTTTCTGCGACTAAAATTTAACTTTTGGTGACCACAATTTTTTGGTTGCGAAAAATCACCTTTTGGCGATAAAAAAAAAAAGTTGGTCGCGGAAAGTATACTATTGGCGACCAAAGGCTTTTTTAAAAAACATTTAGGTGGCGACTCTGTATCTGGCAAAGCAGTCCATGTTTGGCACTTCTTTCAAAAATCTGTTTTTTTTCTCAAAACGATTTGCCGGATTTGAACTCTTGGTTCAGACTTAGAACCGTGACAAATTTGAGAGTCCTGAGCTGTAGTGACCCCAAATGAACAGAACGGGAGCTCACCCTCCCGGGGCGTTCGGGGACGTCTACAATGAGCTGGATACATCAACACGCCCTTTCTTTCTGGGCTCTAGGGATGGTGAGTCTGAATCACTATCATTATTGCGTTTCTAAAGTCAACGTTGGCGACCATCCTTCTTTTTCGAAGGTCGAACCTGGTCTTGGCATGTGGCTTGTTGGAATTTCGCCACCTCCAAGGCCAAATCCTGGCGCAGGCGCTCATTCTCAGCCATCATGTTCTCCAGCTGCTGTTCATTTTGCTTTGCCCGATCCATAATCGTCTGCATTGTCTCATGCATTGAAGTTGAGGGTGCGGTCTAGGCTACTGAATCAAAGTTCAAGGCACGTCGCACGGCGAGATTCTCTGGTCCCAGCATGTTTCTTGGAGTGAGGTCGTCTCTTGGTGTAGTTTCGTCAGCGACTATTGAAGGATCTTCTGTGACGCTCGCCATGAATAAGCTTGAGTATTCCCACAGACGGCGTCAATTGTGGAGGGGTAGGTTTGGAAATACTCTAAGATCCTGTAAGTTGTTCCTGATCCTCTAATCGCCACCTGAAAAAGGGATTAACACCCCGGTCGGGGGTGCTGGAATTAGCACTCCGACGGACAAGTTAGTATATGTCTCTTGTTTGCTTGAGTCTTAAGTTTCTTGGGTTTGTTCTCACATATCTTTCTTTGGTTGATGTTCTTCTATTTATATTCGCTTTTGGGCCCTAGGGTCGGGCCCACTCTTAATCCTTCGCGTGATTGTTCATTCGGCCCTTTCTGTCGTATGCCAATTCACACTCGGCTTTTTGTTCAACTGGTTCTATAGCCGAATAGTCTATTCCGCTTCGGGATCGTACAGGACGGAGCCGAATATAATATATATCCTGATTTTCTAAGTGGGTGTTCGGCAATTCTACATCTACCAATATTCGGCTCCCACAGTTTCCAAAATAATAAATAAATAAAACAGTAAAAAATTTCAAAAAACTCCAAATAAAATGCAAATGAATCTTCAAATATCAATAATATATGACAAATTTGACTATATATACCATCAATAAATACTAACCATTGGTTAAATTGAACATGTTTCTAAATGTATAAGATATTCAGTTCCTGTAAGTCAATTTATAAGACAAAAAGTTTACTTTTATGTGTTTTCTTTTGTTTCATTAGAGTCAATTTGTGAAACTCATAAATTTGTTTTTGTATTTCTTGATTTCACTGAGTTCACTTTGTAATAACTTAAAAAATTTGGAAGAAATCTAATATATACTATAAAAAAGGGAAGAAATCTAATACATACTACAAAAAAAGAGGAGGAAATTATTCAAAAGTTTAACCGAAGAAAAAAAACTACACAAACATGATGGGTCCAACTCATTTTGTGATGGGATACAACTCAAACTCTGTGCGAACGATGAGTTGCACTCCATTTCATATTTGTATATTTTTCTTTTTCTTATCCCGTGTTGTATTATTTCCCTTCCCCAAAAATTTAGCATTTAATAATTTAAAATTCTCCCCAAAAATTTAACATTTAGCAGTGTCAAGTGACACCACTGATAGCCCTATGCATGTCACCATTTTTACTATCACGACATTACCTCGCGTAATCACAACTATTAATATATCATTTTGTAGGATCACAACCAACTACACAATTTTTATTTATTTATTTATGATATTCTCCCCATTTCTATTAGTATATCTCATAGGGAAAAAAAAAAAAAAATTTCTATCCTCTTAAAGAGAAGAACGAAAATGTCACGATTGTTACTATCACGCCATTACCTCACAATTCACAATTACTAATATATCATTTTTAGAATCACAACCAACTACACAATTTTTATTTATTTATTTATATATGATATTCTCCCCATTTCTATTAGTTGTCTCATAGAAATAAAAAGGATAAAATAAGGTTGGTTTGGAAAGTGGGTTGGTTTTTTGGCTTTTTAACTTTTTGGCTATTTTAGCTTGGGCTAAAAAGTCTAGTTTGGGAAGAGTTTTTTGACTTTTTGACTTTTTTGATTTTTTTTTGTGAGAGAAGAATGTAATGATTATGTGTTGGATGTGATGTTTTATTTTTTATGGCTAAAATAACATATTTTGTCTTTTGTGACTAAAATAGCCAAATTAACCCTTCACAAACGGACCTTAAATTGTTTGGTATGATTTTCAAAAAACAGTTTTCAAAAAATTTTATTTTTTTATTTTTCGTATTTTAATGTTTTCAATAATTTTTTTTTCAATATTTTAAACAATTTTTATACACACCTAACATAAATACACTTAAAAAGTATAATATTTGTAAAAAAATCTTTAAAAAATACATTAAATACCAAAAAATATAAAAATTCAGTACATTTTTTTATATTTTTGTGTATTTATTAATTTTTTAAAATATTTTTTCACAAATATTTTACTATTTAGATACATCTAAGTAAGGTGCATCCAAAAAAGTAAAAAAATTGCTTAAAATTTTAAAAATATTGACTAAAAATAAAAAAAATACGAAAAATAAAAAACTTAATTTTTAAAAGGCAGTGGCTTTGGTTCAATCCAAGATTGGAGTGGACCGTGCTGTTGGGCCCGTGGGGCCCACCACGGGTCCCATTTTGGTAATTCGAACGGTTCAATGTGTAGAACTCGTCGAGTACTATATGCTTGTAAAAAATCACGTTGATCGGATATCGATAGCTATGTGAACAAAACAGTTTTTTTATTAACCGTTAATTGTTTCACCGTCTATTTTTTTTATACAAAACTGTTTTGATCACATAGCTATTGATATTCGATCAACGTGATTTTTTACAGGCATGCAGTACTCGACGAGTTCTACACATTCAACGGTTTAGACTATCAAAACGGGCCCAAAAAATGGACCCCATGGGCCGAACTGAACGGGTCCAGTCTTGATATCAACTTGAGACAAGCTGAACCTTTTTTAAAAAACTGAAATCAAACACACTTAATAAATTTCTATCCTCTTAAAGAGAAGAACTAAGGGGTTGTTTGGAATGACCTAAATAAGTGTATTTTTTGTCTTTTTACGAAAAGATGTGCCGAAAAGTAGAGAGGCGATGTGATAAAAAAAAGATAAAAAGATAAAAAGATGGATTATTTTGCAATTGCCAAACTTGGCCTAAATAGAAATTTGACTTGAAGTGACCTGAAATTTAGGGAGAATACTTCCATAAAACAAAAAAGGATAGAATTCCACAAATATTTTACTATTTAGATACATCTAAGTAAAGTGCATCTAAAAAAGTAAAAAAATTACTTAAAATTTAAAAAATATTCATTAAAAATAAAAAAAAATACAAAAAATAAAAAACTGAAGTCAAACACACTCAATAAATTTCTATCCTCTTAAAGAGAAGAACTAAATGGAAATTTGACTTGAAGTGGCCTGAAATTTAGGGAGATTACTTCCATTTACAAAAAAGGATAGAATTCCGTTGCCGGGACTTGAACCCGGGTCTCTCAGGTGAGAGCCGAGTATCCTGACCAACTAGACTACAACGGAGTTCTGGTTAGCATGGTTAATATTATAATTATAATAGATTTTCTCTTCCTTTTTTTGACATTCATACACATACATATATTTGTATTGAAAGATACAGAAATTTCTTGGGTTCTTTTTGAGTAAATTACAAATACACCCTTAAGAAAAATCAGATTCAATTACCCACTGTTCCTATCGAAAATAAGATTGACTACAGTTTTGATCCATACCTCATGGTTTTATAAAACCAAATGATTTTCCTAATCTAAACTAAGCTAGGTTCCTCATTTTGACTGGTGCAACTATTGATAGAATCACATCTCTCTCTCTCACATACACAAATGCGTAAAGAAAGATATGCACTTGCAGCCAATCCATGGGCGCCTAGACTGACTGAAGGAGACTTGTAGTTTGTAAGTCACCGGAGCTACATGACTTGGTTCCGGCAATTGTATGGTTGAAGATGGTGCTTTTATCATGTCTACAAAATTGCCTGAACCAGTTATATTGGAAGATGATCATGAAGACGGTAAAAGAGAGAAATGTACAAATGACCTTCCATGTTCTTCATGACGTTGTACTTTTAGCAACTCAACAAGTTCTTCTGCCAGAGAGTCTGTATCATATTTCATTGCCAGACATACCTAGCAACAGCTCATGCACTTTTCTTGCAATTAAAATCAATGGAAGGTCAACAAAATGCATTAAGATCAAAACTCCAAACAAGCACATGACCAAACACATATCCTTGTGAAATTCACTATATGGACCAAATTCATATGATGCAAAGGCTAAGACAATACAAGAAATATTGGGAAAGTCAATACATCCATCTAGGTTTCAATATTACAGCCATTTTCAACAGGAATCCAACATCCCAGAGCATTTACCAAAATTTTTGATCGATGTAAATGATTATACATGCTATTTACTACCCTTGATACATACAGTGCCTTAAAAGCGTTGAATACAAATTAACAAAGTTATCCAAATGCAAGTCTGAGTGATAGCTGCCTCAATGATCATAATTTGTCTGCTTCTTGAGAAATGGGGGATGATCGAGCGGACAAAATACGTGGCACATGAACTTGCAGCAAAGGGAATGTAGATTAAACTTCTAGATTGAGATTCTGAAACTATTACTGAGACAGCCAGGAGGAACCCATGCTTCCAGATTCACAATTCCTGTATTAAGAACTAAATGTTCCTTAGAAATGCTATCAGGCAATGTAGCATACTCAATAATGAATACACTATACCAATACATAGAAATGGAAATAAAATGGTCCTAGTCCTATATGTACCAGGTTGTAACTTGTAAGAATGGGAACAAGAATCCTATGAATCTCATAACCTCAAACCATCTTCCCGACCAATAAACATACCAAAATTTATACTTGGAATAATTGGGTATAGACCTAACTTTGGGCATTATTTCAAGTTTCAACCCACAACCTTAAGGTTGATACGCTGAGTTTTTAACTGCTAAACCAGTGATAAATAAATGGCGACTTTATTTTTCCAGGTATAACAAATAACAACTAAGGATGTTCCAGGCAACAAGTAGTGATTCACAAATCCATTTAAAAAAAAAAACAGTGACATACTCAGAATATCGTATATTGAATATAGAACTGTAATTTGCAGATATGCATACTACTCTTAAGCATAAGACAGTCTAGGATCCCCTGCTTTTGTTTCTCTCTCCTTTTGCTAAGCCCATTTACGACTAGAAATTATATGCTTCAAGAGTCCTTGATATCTTGTATTTACTTCAAATTTTTATTTTTTTTTTAATTTTCCTTTTCAAATATTTTTGATCCATTTCAAAAAAACTTGAGATTCTCAGTCTAACCACCACTATTTATATACACACACACACACACACCATAGATGCAATAAATACCTATAGATGCAAAGGTAAAGAAGAGCAATATAATTACTATATATGGAAATGTTAAGGGAAGTGAATGACCTATTATGACATGGGATGTGGTAGTAAAAAAATGATAAAAATTTATTTAATTTAATTGAAGATATAGCCTTTGACAGAGCACGACGGTGACAAAAGATTCATGGAGCTGACTCTACTTGATTGGAACACAAGGCTTAGTTTAGTTTTCCACACCAAATTGATCCATTTAGAAAACTTATTCTGACATCTTCAGTTGTCAAATATATCATTTAAACCTGTCCATGATTTATACATTTGAATGGAGTAGTGCGGTCCAATTGACATGAACAATAGGTGCATTCAAATGCTAATGCAAAGTGTAACCATTCCAGTGGGACACTGATCTGTTAATAGAGTTCAAATTAAAACAAAATTCAAAATCTGTTTCTGATATATAAACAACAGAGACAATCTAACCTGATTATTTGAAGCCTGTTCATGTATCTGATGTGGCTGCATATTCAAATCCATCATATTTGTCTTCGTGTTGGCATGCCCATCGGCATTGGCATTTGTAGCTGACTCTGGAACCCTGTGATTCTGCTGGTTCTCTCCCATCGTCAATCTGAGTTGCTGATTCTCTCGCCTCCTGTTCTCATTTGGATCCTCCATACGGCCAGGCTTATCCCCGGGAAACTAAAGATAAAACCGAGGGAAGAAAAAATTGTAAGTCTTAGCATAACATTCGGAAGAACAAATATGATCCAGTTCTATCCCACAGAAACAAACCTCAATTCTCTGCCTCAATACAAGATATCTTCCATGGGTTCTTTTACCTCCTACATGAACAATCATATCACACTGCAAACAAAGGGAGCTTCCATCCACCTCACAGTAAAAGAAAGCTGCACATGCACGATTCAGAAAGAGAAACAAAAATTTAAACCTTTCTGACCCTCTTACAAAAACAGAAAGCATATTTGACATTATGAAAATCTGCATACCAGGTGCATTTTCACATATGTCACAGCGAGGCACAGCATTGGGGTCAGCAAGCCCGACCCTTACATGTCGATTAGCAAGCTTATTACACCTGTGAACCTGCGACATCAATTTATGGGATTTTAAAGATACCGGTAAAAGCATCTCTATAAAATTTGGAAAGAGTGGCAATCAAAGAGGCTATCTTTAAAGCACAACCAAAATAAACCCTAGCAATTTTTTGTGCACTCTACCCCAAACAATAACACAATCACCCCCAAACATAAGCCTTTCGCTTCTAATTAAAAGAAAACTAGATACAAACAATTGGGCTTGTGCACTCTACCCCAAACATTAACAGAGTCACCCCCAAACATAAACTTTTTGGTTCTATGTAAACAGATAACTAGATACCAACATTTGGGCAACAAACAAGAGAAAGCATCAATCAATTTCAATTTTCAAGCACCTCCTACAAGACATATGATTGCAGGCATGTCTCGAATTTAACCTGGATGATTTTCATTACCCATTGGTGACTCGATTGAGCCGAATAGATCCGACCCCCAATATTTTTAATTCAGAGCTATATTGACCTAATTTGTCATATTTGAATTATTGTATAAATTGGGTTATTTTAGGATTTTAGGGTTTGTGATGTTTTTGAGAACTTCTGCTAAGACACACCCGGCTCATTCCAATTTCTACATTCATAGTAGAACTCTTTCATCTGTCATTCACCCGTGGACATTGGAACCATGTAAATCCTTGTCTATTTGTTCTGTTTTTAACTTTTCTCAATTTCCTGTTTTCCATAAAACATACATACATACATACATACATACAAAAGTGTTCGTTAAATTTTACTGGGAGAAATTGTTCCTCAAAATTAATTTAAAAATGCAAAAATTACAACACTCAGAGTTGAACTAACATCAGAAAGCATACCCTAGCTTAGAAAGTAACAATGAAGAGATATCTCACACACACACACACACACACACACACACACACACACACACACAACAAGCAAACAATATAAGAATTTAAACCCATTATCACAATTTACACATCGTCGAACAAACTCTAATCAACAAACGCATGCAAATCATAGAAACCAAATTAAAAAATAAATAAATAAAATAAATATGGATATAGACATAGATACTGATGATGAACAAAGGCAAAAATACCTTGTCGTCGCAGGAGCGGCAGAGAGCGGCCTCATCGGCGGCGCAGAAGAGGACCGCCGTAGCGCTCTCGCACACGTCACAAAGCGTTCGCATACTTGTTAGTAGTAATATTCACTCTCATTTCTCTGATCAATAGAGCAGAACTGGCGTGTCTATAACGAAATTTTCCATAATAAAGAAACGAAACTCTGAAGGAACTTGATATATAATCTAATAAAAAACACTTAAATTGAAGTCGCAGAAGAGAGGAATCAAAGATAGAAACACAAAATATGTGTCTCTACTCTCTTATACAAAAGGGGTAAACCCAGTTTCTCATAAAGCAAGCTAATCAAGGCTCTTTTCATCAATTTTTTAAAAAATTTGATTTTTAATCCCAATTTTTTTTTTTTTAATTATCAAATTTTTCATTCAGAAAAAAAAAAAAAAAACATTTCCAAAGCGATGAAATGATTAAAGATAGAAAAGTTGAAGGTGTTTTTGTTTTATTTTATTTTTTAAGAGGATGTTGAAAAGCTGAGCCTTCGGCAACTTGGTTGGATTGGGTTTGGAGCTATTTTGATTATAAAAAAATAAAATAAATTTTTTTAATTTAATAAGATAAAATATTACATTTAATTTATAATTATTATATTTTTCCATTTATAAAAAGTTAAAAATATCAAAAAAATCTATCCCAAATAAATTTTTTTAAACCCAAATTAAAAAAAAAAAAAAATCAACCCATATCCCAAACCAACTCCAGGATGGAAAACACTTTTTAACACTTTTGATGGAATAATGGCTCATCCTGTGTCGTTTAGTAGTAAATCACATTTTATGGGATATTTGGAAAGAACTTTTTAGTTTTTTTTTTTTTTAGTTAATAGTACTAAAAGATAGTATTAACTAAAATAATTAATAAAATAAAATATTATATTAAATTTATAATTATTTATTATTTTTTTTTTACAAACATCACATTCAATTATAAAAAAATCTAATCATCTTTTCAAACATAAAAATTTTAACCTACTAAAATAACCAAAAACTAAAATAACCTACTAAAAGATAGCATAGTTTTTTTACTATTTTAGCTTGGGCTAAAAAGCCTGGTTTGGGAAGAGCTTTTTAATTTTTTGACTTTTTTTGTGAGAGATGAGTGTAATGATTATGAGTTAGATTTAATGTTTTGTTTTTTGTGACTAAAATAACCTATTTTATTTTTTGTGGCTATTTTAGCCCCTAACCCACCAAAACCAACTTCCCAAACTATGCCTAAGTTTACTTAGATATATGACACATTCATTTATCGCAAAAAAAAAAAAAAATTATAAAAAAAAATAAAAAATCAGCTTTATTATTTAAAAAAGTTAAAGATAAACAATTTATGAATATGTTAAACATTTTATTTATTTTTTAATTATTTGCAAAAGCCTTTTCATTGACTTATTTTTAGTCAATAATTAGATTTTAATTTTTTTTTATATAGGGTTCGCTTGGGATGTAAGTTAATTTTTTGACTTTTTAGTTATTTTAGTCTGAGGTTAAAAAGTCTCGTTTGGGATAAACTTTTTGACTTTTGTGAGAGAAAAATTATATTGATTATAAGTTAGATGTGATGTTTTGCCTTATTAAACTAAAAAATCTATTTTATTTTATTGTGATTATTTGAACCAAAAAATCTGGGATTTTTTCTTCCAAAACAAGCGCATAGCAAAGTCCCTGAAGGCCTAAAAAGAGAGTTTTTTTATTTTTAATTTATACGTTTATATGAAATAATTTTTCATAACATGTGATTCAGTTGTAAAACTAAGCCTCTGATTGGGAAGATAGGTTGGGTTTGGAATAATTTTAGTCACAAAAAGACAAAATAGGTTTTTTTGTTCAATAAGACAAAATATCACATCCAATCCATAATCATTACATTATTTCTCTCACAAAAAGTTAAAAAATCATTCATAAACAAGACTTTTTAACTCTAAGTTAAAATAGTAAAGAAACCAACGTACCTCCCAAATGAACCCTAACTAGTTTAGATCAAATTTGTGTTCAACTCATTGAAAATTCACTTTGTAAATAAATTCAGTTTGAACATATTGCAAAATTTCTTCGAGATTGATTCAAAATAAACAAATCAAAAGTGCAAGAAGACAAACCAAAGACTACTCTTATTACCATGGTTATCCGAGTAAGATATGTAATATGTCCGTAAGGACAAAATCAGACGTCATATTTTTCATGTTATCAAAGAGTGAACAAAGTAAATAGATGGCGAGTGTCTAATCGAATTAATTAGCTCACACTTTTCAAATTAACGAGTTTTTATCTCTTGAATATTCAATTGATCAATTAATTTTTTATAACGTACTTTATTTATTTATATTTTTTTGTGACAAATAAGCGAGAAATGTTTCTCAGAATTTTTCACAGACCTCTACGAGATAAATAGTCTTTTTTTTTTGGTGCAATTCCAAATGGGAGCATACAATAACCCATATTTTGAACCCATGACTTTTTGAAACCTGCGTTTTGTTACTATTATTGAGTGAGCAGATGACTTTTTTGAACACAAAATATGCTTGAAAATTGAAAAATTACTACATGTTTGACTTTTTTGACACATGAATTTCAAAATAACTTTTTTTTTGACAACTACATATTTTAGGTCAAGTTTAACTAAACTAAAAAAGTACACTTATTTCATCTTTTTATCTTTTTTGGATCACATCAATCAACATCTCCACTCTACTTTTTCTACACATAATACAAGAAAAGTCAAAAAGTGCACTTATTTAGTCTTTCCAAACTTGACCTTAGTAAAAAAAATTAAAAAGTCATTATAAATCATTTTTTTTATTTTTTTATATATTTTTTTATAAAAAATTATTAAAATAATTTATTTTCAAATAAGGAGCAAACGAGGTCTTATTAATGGCTATTCAATAAAAATAAAGACCGTTAATTAACGAAGACGGTTAATTAACATCTTTTCGCAATGAGTCCAACATTATATACTCAGGTCTAGTTTGGGAAGACTAAATAAGTGTACTTTTTGACTTTTTATGAAATATGGGTTGGGTTTGGATTGGGTTTGAAGTGATGTGTTAGAAAGGTGATGTGATTTAAATAAGATGATGTGACTTAAATAGGATAATAACTTTTTGACTTTTTGTCTTTTTTCAATCATGCCAAACTTGGCCTAAGCTATTCAACAAAAATCCCTTTAGGATAAATTCTAAATACATCTCTGAGATTTATTTAAAATACAAGTTACTCTTTGTAATTTGAAAAATTATAAATGTCTTTTTGTCTGAATTTTTTATTTAACAAAATTAAATAAAAAATAAAATCCCTTATTGTTCTTTTATACAATAATAAAATTACCTGAATTATTAATTGAAATAAAATTATAATATCATTAAAAATTGTTAATTAACTTGATGCTTAATTAATAAAACAGGCCATTGCTATGAAATTAAAATTTTCAAGGGAGATGATGTAATTTTTATAATCACAAGAGTAAATTGTATTTTAAGAAAATTTTAAAAAATTAACATCTTTTCGCAATGAGTCCAACATTATATACTAAGCTATTCAACAAAAATCCCTTTAGGATAAATTCTAAATACATCTCTGAGATTTATTTAAAATACAAGTTACTCTTTGTAATTTGAAAAATTATAAATGTCTTTTTGTCTGAATTTTTTATTTAACAAAATTAAATAAAAAATAAAATTCCTTATTGTTCTTTTATACAATAATAAAATTACCTGAATTATTAATTGAAATAAAATTATAATATCATTAAAAACTGTTAATTAACTTGATGCTTAATTAATAAAACAGGCCATTGCTATGAAATTAAAATTTTCAAGGGAGATGATGTAATTTTTATAATCACAAGAGTAAATTGTATTTTAAGAAAATTTTAAAAAATATATTTATGTTTACCCATCTCTTAGGCTTGGTTTGGCATATACTATAAAAGTCAAAAAGTCAAAAAGACAAAAAGTTACTCAAAATGTCAAAAAGTTAACATTATTCACTAAAAAAATATTAAAAAAATAACATCCACATAATAATACAAATAAAAAAAAATACAATTAATAAGGTATGACGTGATGGGCCCGTCAGTGACTGGGAAAAAAAATAGGGAGTAAAATATTTATTAAATTGGATGGTAGAGCTGGGCCGTGGGGGCTCACCATAGGTCCCGTTTTGTTAATCTAAACCGTTCAATATGTAGAACTCGTTCAGTACTATATGCTTATGAAAAATCACGTCTATTGGATATCGCTAAATATATGATCAAATCAGTTTTGTATAAAAATGGATGGTGTTATAGTTAATAGTTAACAAAAAAAAACTAACACGATCAAATAGCTATCGATATCCAATCAACGTGATTTTTTACAAACATATAGTACTCGACGATTTCTACACATTGAACGGTTCCGATTAGTAAAACGGGATCCGTGGTGGGCCCCCATAGGCCAAACAGAACCAACCAATTTATGCCCGAAAAGTAGAGAATCAATCTCCTACCCACCCTCCGCAGCGCTGCATCCAACCGTACGTCCTACACTATTACTTTATTCCCCTATACACTTATTTATGCGCTGCCTCCAACTCAAACATTCATATTTTTTTCCTTAACTTAATATACTTATTTAGGACATTCCAAACAATTCCTTCAATATATAATAAATCTAAAAAATTATTTTTATTTATAATTGTGACAACCGAATTGTTTTTATTTTAAATATTATAACTTCATTAAACAAGTAGATTCCTACACTTGTATCCAATTTTCTTGCAATTTATTTGTGGGTGACTTGGTGGAGGTGTTTTTGATAGGATAATGATAAGGATTATTAAAAAGACAGTTAGGTATGGATTTTAACAATTAGACAATAAGTAAATTTAAAAAGTCACTATTATAACTATAAAATGAAGTTAGGGATGTGTCAAACTTTGTTCCCCCATGGCTCCATAGCCACAAGATTTGAGGCAGGTCGGCTTTAGGGATTTGAAAAATGTTGTCAAAGTGTTTAATTCTCAGCCACCAATTTCATATCTTACATGGGCCCCATTAAACTCTCCAGTTCCTCTTGATTTGACCCCTTGTGCATAGTCATACCTTTCTTTAATATCCACACAAAATGTTTAGGGTATGTTTGGTTTGTATTTGAGAGATAAGTTTTAGAAAAAAAAAATTTAAAAAAATTGTTTAGTTTGAGTTTTTCTCAAAAAATTTCTAAAATCACTTTCTCTCTCTTACACATCAATCAATTACTTTTTCGCTCTCCTCTCTCCTTCTCAATCACTTTTTCTCTTACATACATCTACTCAAATTCTCTCAAAATATCAAATCATCCCAAACTCTCAAAAAAATAACTCTCTCAAAATATACAACCAAA